ATATATATATATATATATATATATATATATATATATATATATATATATATATATATATATATATATATATATATATATATATATATATATATGTCGTACCTAGCAGCCAGAACTCACTTCTCAGCCTACTATTCAAGGCCCGATTTGCCTAATAAGCCAAGTTTTCCTGAATTAATATATTTACTATAATTTTTTTCTTATGAAATGATAAAGCTACCCTTTTCACTATGTATGAGGTCAATTTTTTTTTATTGGAGTTAAAATTAACGTAGATATATGACCGAACCTAACCAACCCTACCTAACCTAACCTAACCTATATTTATAGGTAAGGTTAGGTTAGGTAGCCAAAAAAAGCTAGGTTAGGTTAGGTAGGTTAGGTAGACGAAAACACATTAATTCATGAAAACTTGGCTTATTAGGCAAATCGGGCCTTGAATAGTAGGCTGAGAAGTGCGTTCTGGCTATTAGGTACGACATATATATATATATATATATATATATATATATATATATATATATATATCAGTTATATATATATATATATATATATATATATATATATATATATATATATATATATATATATATATATATATATATATATATATATATATATATATATATGCAATTGACGATCATTTGTATGCGGAAAATCCACAAAGAAATAGGAAATGAAGATGAACGTTTCGGCTGTTCAAAGCCGTTGTCAACACCAGACTGACTAGGAGAAACAAAGGGAGAGTACAGGTCAACAGCTCAATCTGACCACATATCCCCATGTAAAGAATTACCCAGAAGCAAGTACAGATTAGTTTAGAATAATAGAATTAAGCGGTCAGAGCAGAAGGATGAAAGATTAAAGAAAAAGCATCACTGAACGCACAATATATGAATATAATATTGAAACATAGTAACCCTTTCAGAGTTTTTTCTTAAACTGTTGTGCAATATTGTAACTTAAAAATGGATCAAGTTTGTACATACCAGTACTAACATTGATAAGATTTGGACGCTGACTGATTAAGGCAGACTCGATCAAATTCTGTTCCACGAAACCACCGCAATTAGTAATGCTTAAAACTCGTGTGCAGATACAATGCACTAGATGTTTGGGCAGTTCTAATATTATAAGCATGTTGTGACAACCGCAATTGTAAGGACTTTCCTGTTTGTCCAAGGTACACAGAATCACAATCATTGCAGGGAATCGAATACACACAACCTGCTGTAAAAGGGTTTTTTTTTTTATTAAATTGGACTTGATCGTAGTATTAGTGAATACCATATTGATATTAAGTTTCTTAAAAACCGGGGAAAGTTTTTCAAGTCCAATCGCATAAGGTACCATCAATGAGTTTCTAATTTCTGGTTTCTCTTTGGGGACATGATTATAAAACGTACGTTTAACTTGTCCGAACGAGCAATCTAAAAACATCTTAGGTATTGTAAACTCTTCCCAATTTCATATATTTTAGAAATCTCTTCATCAAAAACCTCAGGGCTGCATACCCTCAAAGCTCGAAGAAACATTCCTGAAAATACTGGCTGATTAACTTTACTATAATGATTCGAATAATAATGAACATCGACCCCATGTTGGTAGATTTCCTATACACATTAAATTTGAACTTTCTATTGACTCTATGACACATAATGTCCAAAAACGGAAGAGTACCATTCTCCTCATTCTCACATGTGAATTTTATTTAAGGTACCAAAAAATTAAGTTCATTAAGAAAAACTGTTTGGTCTTGGTCAACCAACAACAACAGGTCTTGTTGACCTGTTAAATTAACTCTCCAAAATTAATTCTTTATTTCTGGTCTGACGCCTGAATGCGTTTCGTAATGCTTATTACATTTTCAAAGACTTAGTTTACACATAAAATACATCATATTTATACTCATTTTGGGTGAGGTGATATAGTACAAAAGTTTTGGGTGAGGTGACAGAGCATATGCCAGAACACGAAACAAAGGGTATAAATTGAGTATGAAAACATAAGAATGGAAGTAACTGCAGAAGGTCTATTGGCTCATACTTCCTCTTGTTGCTTCCATATTGGTTCGGGGTCTTGAAGTGGGTAGAATATTGTTGTGCATTAATTGGCTGTTGATTGTTGGTGTTGACTTTTTGATGTGTAGTGCCTCGCTGATGTCGAGTCTCCTGCTATCGCTGTATTTATCGATGATTTTTGTGTTGCTTATTAAGATTTATCTGGTGATCGCTGGTTGTGAGAAGAGATCATATGTTCCTTGATAGAGCCCTGTTGTTTATGCATTGTTAATCGCCTAGAAAGAGACGTTGTTGTCTTGCCTATATACTGAGTTCTTTGGGGCTTACAGTCCCCAAATTGAGAAGATTCGTGTTAGAATTATTAATCTTACCAGTTCGGTCATATTCAACAACATATGTGTACTCACCTAATTGTGCTTGCGGGGGTTGAGCTTTGGCTCTTTGGTCCCGCCTCTCAACTGTCAATCAACTGGTGTACAGATTCCTGAGCCTACTGGGCTCTATCATATTTATATTTGAAACTGTGTATGGAGTCAGCCTCCACCACATCACTTCCTAGTGCATTCCATTTATTAACTACTCTGACACTGAAAAAATTCTTTCTGACGTCTCTGTGGCTCATCTGGGTACTAAGTTTCCACCTGTGTCCCCTTGTTCGTGTCCCACCCGTGCTGAAGAGTTTGTCTTTGTCCACCCTGTCAATTCCCCTGAGAATTTTGTAGGTGGTTATCATGTCTCCCCTTACTCTTCTGTTTTCCAGGGATGTGAGGTTCAGCTCCTTTAGCCTTTCCTCGTAGCTCAATCCTCTCAGTTCCGGGACGAGCCTGGTGGCATACCGCTGAATCTTCTCTAACTTGAAGTGTGTGTGTGTGTGTGTGTGTGATGTAATAAATACATACAAGAGTATATATACTTCAAGAGTTCTTACATTCTTGTAAAGCCACTAGCACTCATAGCGTTTCGGGCAGGTCCTTAATCCTAATTTTTCCATTTAATACGACCCGCCAAATCGTTTAACAACCAGGTACCCATTCACTGCTGGGTGAACAGATGCTACAGTTAAGGATTGGCGGTGCCCAGTCAATCCTCCCCCAGCCAGGATGATGTAACACCGTAAAGGTGTTTTGTTTAGTTTTATTTAATATATATATAGTACATGAGTCAAGCCAGACAAGATTTGAGAGGCGCCATTCTGTCAGCCCGAAAGTCACACCTCTACAGTGTTAATGACCACCAAGTGACCAACGTCAGGTCGTGTTAAGTTGACCTGGTTTCTGCTAATCTGATAACTGAAGCCTGATAGCCAGGTAGGTTCGTCAAACAAGCCGACGTTCAAGGAGTGGCTTGGTAGAGGGCCTGGGGCTACCTACTTGTGGGCAGAGTTAGCTAGTTGGTCCCCAAATAAATACTCGGGGAGCTGTAGATTCGAGACGAATAAGCAATAGGACAACAAAGACAGCAGAGCAGGGCAGCAGACAGCCGCCGAGATAGGCTGTCGGCCGGACGGGGGGTGACACTGTCGGTCAACTGCAGACCCTCCCCCCCCCCCTCTCTATCCAGCTATAGGCAAACACTTGGTGAGTTGAACATGAAAGGTGACTTATTTCGTGTACTAAGATGTTGTGTGATCTCTAGGGGCAGACAGTTGTAGCGACTCTCAAAGTTGTGTGTGGTGGCTCACACTGTTTATCTGGACATAATGAACCTTCAGTTCGAATGCTTGAATTCTGATATTTATCATGTTAAATAAATACTTGATTCACTTACTTTTAATTTGAATTTAATTGTGTTCCCGAGTTCTTGGAATTTCTAATATATACAAACTAGAGTGTAGAGTACTCTTGAGTTACTGACTAAAAGAATCTTGCCTGGAACATGATTCCAGTTGACACATGCTAATAACATCTTTTTATACAGACAAGTTCCATTCCTTGTCTTGTATGTACCGACTAGAATGGATGATGGCAGCGTTTCTACTTCTACCTATCTACCCTTCTACCTCTACCACTACTTCCTATTCATCTCTGTACCCACTCTTCCCCCCTTTCCCTTTCACCTGACGACCCTCCTTACTCCTCCCTCCTCTCTACCTCCCTCACCCCGAACCCTCACTAATTCATTATTCATCTCTTTCCTTTCGGTTCTCTTACACGTTCGTGGCAGTAAAATGTTCTAGAGTTCTCTAGAGTTGCGGGTAGTTGGTCAAGTTACAATGCCGTGTGGATGTCGCACCTAGGTAATCACATACCTATGTTACAAGGTGTTGAGCTGGAGAAGTTGCAGTAGGAACTCTGGGGGAATTCTAGAATAGTTAACTGGGGGCGAGATAATGGACTAAAGAGAGCTATTTCACCCCCCCCCCCCCCGGTTACAATACGAACCCAGGCCAACTCACTAGCAAATCACGGAGCAAGTGTGTTACCGCTGCGCTACGAGGACTACATAATGAATGTGTGTACAAAGAACATAAGTGCAATGTACATAAGAGTAGAGACAGGAGTTACACATACTAATGAAACCATTATTATGCAAAGCGTTTCCCGCAAAACAAAAAATATAGAAAATAATTTAGGTTTTTAGGAAAACAAACCTAAATTTTCCTAGAATTTAGGAAAACTCCCCCTCACACATTTAGGTAAATGTGTGAGGGGGTGTTGATCTCTTACAACAACCACCACTAAAATATGGATCTCGTCTATCATTGTCGAAAACAGGAAACCAGCAACTGAATATTGTCGGGATGCCATCCATAACAGTTGACAAACTCGCAGGTGCCTATTTAATTACAAGGTGAGCAAAGGCATCAGAGTAAACACACTGGGCTTACTTAGTTAAACTGTTTTTCCACCTTATAATAAGAGTTATAGTGAACAAAAGTTACATAAATACATGATATGAAGGCATAGTTACCATAACATGTGACATTGTTGGAAACTCCCGTGTGAGCGGAAGCGAGCCACTGACCATTGTAATGAGGTCGTATATATACAGCGGAGACATTATGGTGTTCCCCACTCCGCCCACCACCTCCAAATATTACGGTGTCAACATTCAACACTGCAAGTCAGCATCCCGGGAACAGCAGGTGAAGGAAGATTTTTGCTCGAACTACAGATACCTAACCACGTCTACTGCCTCTGGGTATTATGTACCTTACTGTTTCTAATTATACTCAAATCACCAAATCAACGAGGTGTTTATGGATGAGCAGGACGTGTAAAATCAACAACACAGATCTAAATACTTAGTCCATGTAGCAGGACCAAAGCTTGGAATGAATTGGAACCGGAAGGAATCGTGGGCGAATGTGTGTAGAAGTGACAACTGAGCTCCCCTAGTTGGAGGGGAGGAGAGTTAAAAGGTGCAGTTGTCATAATGAGGAGCCACTCCAGGTGAGGAGTGGTCACAACTGGGGGCTTGGGGATCAACCCTACCACAGAGGTGGATAGTCAGGTGGTCAGAGCAGCAGCTTGGTCTGGGCCCAATGTAGTGGGGGCTACAGAGCCTGGCCTTCCATCACTGACTCGGGGTTCCTGGTCGCCCATCCCATGAGCCTGGGTAAGACAAGTCAGTCCAGTTTCCATACAAGATTAATTCCAAAAGTCTAGATTACCTACCAGGGGAGCCAGCAAGACCGTGCAGGAAGGGGTGCATCGTCCCGTGATGCTCCCCTTTTAACAAGTCATACTTCCTCCCATACTGGTGCAAAGACCTCATTCTCCCTTTCACCCCAGCCTGGACACCCAATCATCCACCAAAGGCAGCCCCCTCCAGTAGGAGGACCGTTGGTCTGAACAAGATTCCCAGGTGTGTACCTTAGCACATGCAACGGCCAAAGAAACCCTCACCGGCCCCAGTCGTATATGAGCCCCCTCCCCCTCACAAGGGGACACTTTGGAGGAGTGACTTGACAATGGTCCAGGATGGGCCAAAATGTCGTTTCTTTATATTCTGGTGTGTGGTTTGGTCATCAGAGAACATTTATTATTGCCCATGAACTTTCAGGTCAACATGGTGGCCACGTGGAACAGTCGTCTGGTGCTAGTGTTCTCTCTGCTAATGTTGCATAAGGCATTTGCTTCTCCCGAGATATCTGATGTTGCAGCAGTTTTCTCCAGTGGTTTTCCAGGTTTGTTCACAGGTCAAGTTTAAGTTTTGCCCTTTCTTTGGCTATAGCCTATCTGTATTTCATTTAAATAAAATGTTTTCCATTATATACATCCTCATACAATATTCACTACAAGAAACCAGAACTTTTGCCTTTAGGTATTATTCCATCAGGAAGAACCATCCGTGGCCAATGTAAGCCATGTCCAATAGACCATCACCTCATATCATACAAAAATTGCCAGTGCGCCAAGACCTGGAACGAGCCTGGCATTTGACCTCGCCACATACTAACCAGTAAGTCCAAGCTTTCCTACATGTTCGTAAGTGATTTGTGCAAAGTGACTTAATTAGTAAAAATTAATTGAGTATGGGAAAGACTAGTTGGCCTGTACACCAGAGACCAACAACAGTACCAACTATGGCACTGTTGTCACTTAACATGACAGTGCCAACTCAAGTCACTTGATAAGTACATTAACTCAGCCAGGTTGGTAGAGGGGAAAGTTTTTGTACAGCTTACAAAAAAACAATGATTGATAAAATAAAGTTTTATTTCTTTACACTACGCCATAAATTAACCATTTATTTCACATTAATGAAAATGAAAAACTAAATGAAACATTTAATATGGTAAGCACCCATCAGTGAAAGACTAGAATTCTGCCTGCAAGAGTAAAGAGTTGCCTGGACATTGCAAGGCTTCTCTTACAACTGCAGCACAAGGTGATGGGTACTCACACATACCCTGGCTCCCCATATTTGAACACTTCCATTAATGTAGTACCCACAGGAGCCTGGTTAAATTTTGCTATGCAACACTTAATCTTAAAAAAATTCCTTTATACAAATATATTTAAACTTTATAGAAGATTCATCTAAATTGCCAATTCAAGTAGAAATTGACAGCTAATAATTAGCACACTTATGCTAAAAATGAGTTTCATGAGAATCCAATTCAACCGTTACATTTAATCCAGTCTTAACCATAAAACACTTTTTACTACCTTATAAAATGAAGTAGTTAAACTACTATTATGCAATTATTGGAGCTATTACCTAGAAAATTTTAATTCAACAGAATAAAGGCAATCATGGAATGTAAATTTTTTGAAAACCATTGAATAGCAGAATGTCTACCTTCAATTTCAATAGTTAAGATTCAACTAAAAGGACTAGTCAAAAATACTGCCCTGGGTCTCAGTATCAAACAAATATTTTGGACATCAAGCAGGAATCATGTTGGTAGCTGGTGTAATGTTCAAAGTGACTGGCCCTTTGACAATAATGTGCGATAATCCTTCTTTGATGCGCAGAAATTGACGCTTGAAATCCAACCCACAACCCTTAGAGAGGCGGAAGTCTACAAGGATGTGCTGACCCATATCCAGTACGCTAGCCTTCAGGACCAGCTGGGCTCCTCGACGATCCAATGTTGTCACAGTCAGCTGCAAAATATTTTACACTACACTTTATACAGTCAATTATGAGCAAAATCATGAACATTAAAGAACTGTACAATTAGATAATGTTATCCAATTTTATGTTAATTAAACACCTTTATATATAATAAATAAAATACATGCCAATTTAATGAGGCTTCCACTCCAAATTTTCCCCTGCAAATATGACTACCACAGCTAATAATTGGTGTAGCAACCCCCTATAAATTGTGCCCACAGCAGCATTCATAACCAAAATATAATAAATGGTGATGGTTGTAATTACTGGTAGTGCAATGTAGTTAAAACCACTTTCTCAAATATGACAACACACTGTTTGAATAAACAGCAGAAAGACTACTGATCTGCTTAGAACATCACTATTCAAACCTCTCAATGTCTATAATCATACCAGTCTTTTCAATAATATTAACTAGCCACCCCCATCTTTATCATCTCGTGCAAGACAGTATCAAAGACCTTCCAGCAGCAAGACTGCAAGGGATACACATGTCCTCTAGGTTAACACTATTCTGGGAGAATGCCATCACATTAGCCTATCAGCTCTTGCTTCCTCCAGGATCTTTCAATGCTAGTCATTTAATTATATAAACCTTCAGCATTTTGTCTGTAGCCCTGGGTTCAGAAAAAAAACGGCTAAAAGTTTTACAGTACAGTACTTACAACATGAGCCGTATGGTAGCGATGAGTGTAATTCAATTTGTTAAACAGTGTTTCCAGATGGGTCAGTGTGTCTTCAAGTGTGGTCCTCACCAATATTCTTGTCATCCGTTTAACCAAGCGCTGCAGGGGTGTCTGACTTGCTTGTGTTCCTTGCGTTAATTGTGAAGACAGCAGAAGTTGGTCAGGTTTAACAGGCTGAGAGAAGCTCAACATTCCCAAATTTACATTTGCACCACTCTGAAAAGAAAAAGAAATGTTGATGTTCCATGTCATTTGAGTTATTAACAGAGGCATCTCCTAATCCCTAAACCTAAACAAGCCACTGGGCAATTAATCTTCAAAAGTAAAGTATACTGTGGAGTAGACCTTACTGCTTACCATATCCCACACAAAGCAATTAAATAACCTAGAATAACTTAGCAATTTTGTAACTAATTATCAAGGGCATCTGACAGCCGAGTGGACAGCACTTTGGATTCGTAGTCCTGAGGTTCCGGGTTCGATCCCCGGTGGAGGCGGAGACAAATGGGCAAAATATTTCTTTCATCTGATGCCCCTTTTTACCTAGCAGTAAATAGGTACCTGGGAGTTAGACAGCTGCTACAGGGTGCATCATGAGGGGGGGGGGTAACAAAAAGGAGGCCTGGTCGAGGACCGGGCCGAGGGGACGCTAAGCCCAGAAATCATCTCAAGATAACCAAGATCAATAACTTGTCAGTTTTGCACGCTGCCAGATTCTGAGTTACTAACAGACAATGAATACCAGAAACACGGCTAACTGCACAAGTGGAAGTGGGTTTTAGTAAGTAGAATAGTTCACAAGTTACTGAGAATGGTAAGTAGCCAAGCACAAACTCTGTTTTTCATTAAAAGTTGAGGATAAAGGTGGCACTATGGTAAACAACACAGCTCAATTCTAACACAATGTCACACAAAATAATTAAATAAAAATAAAAATAAATGGAAATCTATGAAAATTCAATTTATCAATGCAATCAGAAACATCGAAACGGAATTTGTAACATTTGTGTTATGTTATTTGAAACATATTTCTTGTCACAGCGTCCCCGCAGCACGGTCCTCGACTAGGCCTCCTTTTTGTTGCACCCCCTCTAAGAAGCAGCCCGGAGCAGCTGTCTAACCCAGGTACCTATTTACTGCCAGGTAACAGGGGCACTAGGGCGAAAGAAACGCTACCCATTTGTCTCCACCACTACAGGGGATCGAAACCGGAACCTCAGGACTTCGTATCCGAAGCGCTGTCTTCTCGGCTGTCATGCGCCCATACCTACTATATAGACGTCACATCTGTGACGGGTAAAACTTGCCTTTTACTTGGCTGTTGGGGAGAACGAGGGGACAGGGGAGGGGAGAATGGGGGGGGGGGAGGGAAGGGAGAATGGTGGGGGGGGGAGGGAAGGGAGAATGGTGGGGGGGGGAGGGAAGGGAGAATGGTGGGGGGGGGAGGGAAGGGAGAATGGTGGGGGGGAGGGAAGGGAGAATGGTGGGGGGGAGGGAAGGGAGAATGGTGGGGGGGGGGAGGGAAGGGAGAATGGTGGGGGGGGGGGAGGGAAGGGAGAATGGTGGGGGGGGGGGAGGGAAGGGAGAATGGTGGGGGGGGGGAGGGAAGGGAGAATCGTGGGGGGGGGGGAGGGAAGGGAGAATGGTGGGGGGGGGGAGGGAAGGGAGAATGGTGGGGGGGGGGAGGGAAGGGAGAATGGTGGGGGGGGGGAGGGAAGGGAGAATGGTGGGGGGGGGGGAGGGAAGGGAGAATGGTGGGGGGGGGGGAGGGAAGGGAGAATGGTGGGGGGGAGGGAAGGGAGAATGGTGGGGGGGGGGGGGGAAGGGAGAAGGGGGAAGGGAAGGGAGAATGGTGGGGGGGGGGAGGGAAGAATGGTGGGGGGGGGAGGGAAGGGAGAATGGTGGGGGGGGGGAGGGAAGGGGAAGGGAGAATGGTGGTGGGGGAGGGGGGGGGGGGGGGGAAGGGGGGAGGGGGGGGAAATGGTGGGGGAGGGGGGGGGGAAGGGAGAATGGTGGGGGGGGGGAAGGGAGAAGTGGGGGGGGGGGAAGGGGAGAATGGTGGGGGGGGGGGAAGGGAGAACGGTGGGGGAGGGGGGAAGGGAGAACCGGGGGGGGGGGGGGGAAGGGAAGAACGGTGGGGGGGGGGGAAGGGAGAACGGTGGGGGGGGGGAAGGGAGCACGGTGGGGGGGGGGGAAGGGAGAACGGTGGGGGGGGGGGGAAGGGAGAACGGTGGGGGGGGGGGAAGGGAGAACGGTGGGGGGGGGGGGGGGGACGGTGGGGGAGGGGGGAGAACGGTGGGGGGGGGGGGAAGGGAGAACGGTGGGAGGGGGGGAAGGGAGACCGGTGGGAGGGGGGAAGGGAGAACGGTGGGGGGGGGAAGGGAGACCGGTGGGAGGAGGGAACGGTTGGAGGGGGGGGGGAAGGGGGGAAGAACGGTGGGGGGGGGGAAGGGAGAACGGTGGGGGGGGGGAAGGGAGAACGGTGGGGGGGGAAAGGGAGAACGGTGGGAGGGGGGAAGGGAGACCGGTGGGGGGGGGGAAGGGAGAACGGTGGGGGGGGAAGGGAGAACGGTGGGGGGGGGGGGGAAGGGAGAACGGTGGGGGGGGGAAGGGAGAACGGTGGGGGGGAGACCGGTGGGAGGGGGGAAGGGAGAACGGTGGGAGGGGGGGGGAAGGGGAGAACGGTGGGAGGGGGGGGGAAGGGAGAACGGTGGGGGGGGGAAGGGAGAACGGTGGGAGGGGGGGGGGGGGGAAGGGGAGAACGGTGGGGGGGGGAAGGGAGAACGGTGGGGGGGAAGGGAGGAGACGGTGGGGGGGGGGAAGGGAGAACGGTGGGGGGGGAAGGGAGACGGTGGGGGGAAGGGGAGGGGGGAAGGGAGACCAGGGGAGGGGGGAATGGTAAGGACAGGGAACTGGGGAAATAGTGGGGGGAGGGGGAATAGTAGGGGGAGGGGGGAATAGTAGGGGGAGTGGGGGGAATAGTGGGGGGAATAGTGGGGGGAGGGGGGGGGAGTGGGGGGAATAGTGGGGGGGAATAGTGGGGGGAATAGTGGGGGGGAATAGTGGGGGGGAATAGTGGGGGGGAATAGTGGGGGGGAATAGTGGGGGGGAATAGTGGGGGGGAATAGTGGGGGGGGAATAGTGGGGGGGAATAGTAGTGGGGGGGAATAGTGGGGGGGAGAATAGTGGGGGGGAATAGTGGGGGGGAATAGTGGGGGGGAATAGTGGGGGGGAATAGTGGGGGGGAATAGTGGGGGGGAATAGTGGGGGGGAATAGTGGGGGGGAATAGTGGGGGGGAATAGTGGGGGGGAATAGTGGGGGGTAGGACGTGGGGACAGGAGGGTTGAATCGCGCCCAATCTTAACTAACACTTATCGCTTTCGCGGTGAGTGCGATAAGTGTTAGTCAAGATTAACTTCCACATTTTACACTACAATGTGTAATATCCAAAGGAAACATTGTGTGTATTGTGTTTCACACCATGGTGAAGAGGGTGTGATGCATATTAACAGTATTCCGCCCCGGGCCTATGTACGAAGTACCTCTGGCGGTGCGGGCGAGCACTGACACTAAACGTGTATACTCGTTTCAGTTTTCTCACCTTAATTCTCGTGCTACGTCGTTCGTTTTGGTATCAATGTGTTCGCAATTAAATTCCCTGCAGGTGTATATGCATATATTGTCCAAGATACCAGCGTGACTCCCCCTTAGCAAAGCCTAAAGTTACCTGTGAACGAGAACCAATTATCACACCCGCAACCCAACGTGTATACTTGTTCAGTTTGATAATTTTCGTGTTACGTCGCTCGTTTTGGTATCAAATTGTTCGCAATATAAAGGCGCGCATTTTAAAACTATTCCCATAAAAATAGAGCAATAACTGGAATTTTAACAAATATTTTAGTTTTGGACGATCATAAAATTATTTATATCTTTCCAATGTTCTGACAAATTTGTGTTATACATCTTTCATTTTGGTATGAAATTGTTAGCAATGTAAAGGTGCGCATTGTAAAACTAGTCCCATAATAATAGCACAAATAGAATTTTAAATATTTAAAAATTTTGACCAAAAACGTATTTATAATCTTTCATGAGTTCTGACATCAAGTTTGTTACACCTTTCATTTTGGTATCAAATTGTGCGCACTCTAAAGGCGCTTATTTTGAAACTATCCAGAATACGATCAGATAAATGAATTTTATTCAAATATTTTTGTATTGGATGCGAGCGCTGTCCAGGGCTACGACTGAGAAAAAGAGTGGACGTGAGCAATGTCCAAAGCGAGCGATGGTGTTAAAATATTATCAGAGCAAATATGCAAAAGCATTTGCTAGATACCTAGATACCTAAAGATGAAATATTTTGGAACAAAAATTAAGTGAGAACTGAATATTATTCATACAGTAAATAATTCAAGCCCAGGAACAAAATATAAATTTTAATTGTATGCAAAGGAGTATTATTCAAAATATGAAATACTACAACCTTTGTCATTCTCAATCCAAAGCTTTATCTAATATCTACATAACATTTTTCACCAATTCATTAACTTACAATAATTGCATCTATACCAGCAGGGGTTGGCACCTCTGGTTGAGAGCAAGCCAAACGGGTGGAGAAATCTTCAGGGGACAAAACTGTATTGGCGCGCTCCAATTCACTGCAAACTCTCTTATTAGTTGGAGTCGTCGTCTCGGACACATTTTGCAAAATTCCTACAAGATAAAATTTAAAAAATTAGGTTAAAGGCACAAGTAAAATTAATTTTTGTTGTTATATATAAATATTTTTTTTGAAGAGTGCTTGACTATTAGGTAACTGGTGATTACAGGAGCAGCAATGCCCCATGGTGTTCCAGCTATATGACTTCAAATCCCTCATACAGCTAGATCACCAAAGATATTGCCAGTCCTAAGTGCCAAATATTTCAGGTTTTTGGCAAACAAATTCAATTCCTTTTTCTAAGCCAACAGCCAAGCATGAATTAAATTTTGCTCACGTTTTGTTGCCTTAACCAATCATAAGACTGAAGTCTGCCCTTGATGAAATGACCCGTCTCAATGCTTTGGTAATCTAGCTTTATGGATTCATAACTCCCATCATAACGCTAAACTACCAAAGCAGAGCATTGGGCTTTGTGTTGAATAGCCTCTACTTCAAATTTTAACTTGCATTTCTATTTTACCTGCATGTTGCTATTTGGTGGGAAATACTGTATCACTTTATCTGCATTCAATAAATGGCAGTTAAAATACAAAAAATTTTATATACACAGTAATTCTTAAATATATCAACTAAAAAGGGAAGCATTATAAGTACAGTACTGCTGCATACAGTACCTCTAATGTTCAATAGCCTCGACAATGCATAAGAATTGACACGTGCAACTGTTTATACCACATCAAAGCCATTAATGTTTCCCCAGTATAAAAGATTAACAAATTTCAAGTATTGTCTAAAATATATGACGTGTAGAAATACTGCACAGCATCTGTATATTCCACCTTTCGAAGAGATTTTCTAACCACTTACAAAAGTTGAACAGTTGGGAGGCTTTGCCTATACCATCATTGACAACAGGAATATGTACATTTGTCTAAAGCATTATGTGGAGACATTCATTGCTCTACATGCACACTCCAGAATTACAAGATTTCAACATAATCATAAATAACCAGTCAAAATCTCTGCCACACGACCACTTGTTTTAATGGCATCCTGTTTGCTGACTAGATAACACACTAAGCATTTACAGGTATATTGACTGTGCAACTCAATCAAGTTAGGAGATAAGGGATGACTGCTTACCGTTATCTATTAAAACTGCTCATAACACCTATTACAAACACCAGCACCTCTGTTTAACAAATACTGATGAACTCCCAAGTAGGTATCAGATCAATTCAGCAGCCTAACAACTTGTGAGTGACCCCAGTCTAGGGTTAAGAATATGGAATTATATCTTAATACAGAAGAAGTCTTAAATAAATAAAAACACACACGTACGTACGTACACGTACACGTACGTACGTACACGTACACACGTACGTACGTACGTACGTACACGTACACACGTACATACATACATACATATACATACATACATACATACATACATATATATATACATATATATATATATATTTTTCTGACACTACAGTCAACACAGTAAGGCAAACAAACTCCCATAAAAGAAAATATAAAATAATGTCCAATAATTAGGATAGTTATCCATTTCTAATACATTGTACTGTATTTCTTATGCAAACTGATGAAGTTATGTGAGGGAGACCACAGATACTTTGAAACTCTGCACTTAAAAGTTTGCAGAGTCACATAGTACCTGAAATCTCCTCCCATTCTGCATTTCATTTCCAGAAACTACCACCTTGGCAGACTTTAATTGAAGAGATCTGCAAATGGTATAACAAATTTCACGTTAAGGTCCACCACTGACGTCCAAGAGCACTGAAACTACATAAAAAATTAAGTGTTATGAAAAAATCTCACATTTACGGTACACATTAACTTTTGGCAAACTTAATACTATACAAGATCAGATTATTTTACAGCATACAACTTGATTAAAAAAGTGAGTTCCTAAGTTATAATGCCAACCCTGCATATAAAAGCTGAACAACTTAAAATTAAAGAATTTGGGCAGCAGGAATCGACTATGAGGAACTTGAGTACCGAGAAAATATTTAAGAAAATGTAGTATCAAAGTCAATAAAGAACATGTGTTAGACATCAAGATGGTTTGGTAATGTTAAACAAATGGACAGAATGGGTGAAGTGTGTATTAGAGAGTGCAAACCATTCATTCTAATTGGTAACATTCAGAAATGCAAATTTTTACGAAACTATTTACAAAATCTAACCAGCTGAAGTTTCAGCGTGGTTTAAAAAAAAAAATTAACCAATTTTGAAAATATTTTTATTATTTAGAAGAATTCAGTAACATGTTAACAGAGGATTACATAATTTTTAGATATTGAAAAAACTCTTGATAAAGACCCGATAATTTTATTTAAAACTGCACCTTTGAAAATAAAAAATATATGTTTTAAATTGTCACATTATATACAAAGCAATGTAATAAGTCATGAAAATTGGCAAATAAAACGTCAGTATTTTTTAAGACATACAAACGTATCCAAGTAAAATGAAATCAATGATTATGCCACAATGATTAGGTAGATATTGAGACTTCCAACTTCACATTATTATTGGTGGGGCTACATTTTTAAAGGTGCAGAAGTTTAAGGAAATCGTGCATGAAACTATGGCAAAAAAAAATACATGGATCAACTAAGACTAAAACATAGTAACTTTGAATGCCTTACCTGCAGTCCTCTGGAAATTTTTGGTAAACCATTGATGACTCTTTATCTGACTTATTGTTGCTCTGTGTCTTGGCACAGTGTTCAGCACCTGAAAATATTATTTTCATGTTTAATGTCCCACCAGTGGAATGCACGTAACATGAACAAAGGATGACAACCACATAAAATCCAGGAATAAGGAAATCTTAACTTACATTCCATAGAAAGGGTAAAGAATATATGGGAAAAGTTATTTAAATATACAAATGGGTGAAGTGGTAAAGGAAGAGGGATAATAGAAGGCCAAATATATATATAAAAAAAGATATGTTTAGATTTGGAAAGAACACTAATGGAACACATTTTCCCCATACCTTTCTTAACAAGGAAAGAGCCAAGTTATCTATCTTCGTCCAAGGAGTAGTGGTGAATAAACGGCACTCTTTGTCTTTCCAAGAAGTGTACTCTGGACAAGAGAAAGTCGGCTCATCCCAAGGCAATTCTGAAAAAAATAAAAGGTAAACTGAAATTTCATTGCCAAAAGCTCATATCTAGGAATTTAACATAACATTGATGCCCCAGCCCGTTCTTGCGAGCATTCCCAGCATCAAGAACATTTGATGTGATGCCCCAGCCCATTCTTGCGAACATTCCCAGCATCAAGAACATCTTGATGTGATGCCCCAGCCCATTGTTGTGAGCATTCCCAGCATAAACTGTCTTGCTAAAGAGCCCACCTCCTAACCTACCAGAGGACCTACAAGCAGGACTGTCAATTTTGCGAGCCACTTTCATGCACGACAGTTTTTACCCTTGGGTAAAGTTTGTCAAAATGTAATGTGCTAATAGGATGGGTTAGACAACCACCACATTATTAGCATTTACAATATTTACTAGACCTTAAAATGTGCCTAACCAAATTAGGTAAATTTCAAATCCCAAACTGTAGCACTATCACCAAGTACTATGTAATTTACACCACACCATTACTAGATGACCAAAATCCAATGCTGCAATTACAGCAAAAAGCAATCAAATACAACAGAATATTTGTGTATAGTATTTCAATTGCATCATTTGTATCCACAAACAAAAGGAAAACTGAAAATTTACACAGTGCAACAGGATCATTGAAGTGGGACCGTTTCTTCCTAAGTTTGAAAAATTTGAATTTTTAACTTCTGCTCTACAGAAAAGATACTGAAAAGATTCTGCTGAAATTGTGTGGAATGACTCCTCAACCCAGATACCACAAGATAATCGATACATTACCAAACCGTATACTACATCAATATCGGAACAAGTAAATATTCATTAGTGAAAGTCACTAGTAGCTTAGTGGAGGCGCCAAATAGGAATTTTAAGGTTTCCCATTCGAAAAGAGTGCGTCCATTTGTACCACAATGGTAACACTGAGGCACTGGCTTTATCTAGCTAAAAAATTAACAGAATATTTTAACATTTCAAAAATGTTGGTCACAGGAAGGTTAACAAGTCTGTTTTTGCCGCACTTATGAAGTGAAGATGTTCCATCTCTCCTATATCTGCACTAAAACTAATATTGATATATTGGAAAAACCAATTACTACACAAGACATGCTGGTAGTCACTTTTCTTCACAAATTCTCAGGCGGTCCACAACTTCTACAATATCCAGTACCTATCAAGTATAGGTACAAGTACCAAATCTACACAGTAAAATAACAACGTACTGGAGTGAACGACATGGAAGAAAATGTAGAATAGAACCAATGAAGAACAGAGGTGCCATAGGCACAATCAGAGAACACTGTATAAACATCAGAGGTCCGCGGTTGTTCAACGTCCTCCCAGCAAGCATAAGAAATATTGCCGGAACAACCGTGGACATTTTCAAGAGGAAACTAGATTTATTCCTCCAAGGAGTGCCGGACCAACCGGGCTGTGGTGGGTATGTGGGCCTGCGGGCCGCTCCAAGCAACAGCCTGGTGGACCAAACTCTCACAAGTCGAGCCTGGCCTCGGGCCGGGCTTGGGGAGTAGAAGAACTCCCAGAACCCCATCAACCAGGTATCAAATATACTTTCACAATATTGTGAAACTAAATATTATAATTCATATGTCAAATACAGCCTAGAGTAATGTGTCAGTTTATGATTTATGAAAACTAAAGAAATTACAACTCAAATGTGTTTTGAAAGTTGCATTTCAAATGTTACCACTTACTGCTTGGCACAATTGTAATTACATTGTGCCTTCCACAGGTATGGAGTTAATCTCTGGGAGCCTAGTGAAGAGCAGCATCACTACACTACTCAACAAAACTACTCCCAGCTACACACAAAATTTGTTTAGCAGTCTTACCAATATGCAGACTAATAATTAACCACGAGAAAGCTAAATTAAGCTTACCATTAGCCATTTGAAACATTCACTCTTTTGCCCATTTTTTTTTTAACAGTAAATCCATGATTCACATTTACCCAGAAAAATTGGGAAGATCATTCACATGCCAACAATGTATACAATTTAAAAATATTTTTAAATGGCTCTTGCCTCTGCCACACAATTTAAACACCAAACACCTAGTTTATGCTATCAGTTTGCATAAGCAGCTTATTTGTCATGATTACACAAGCTCAATGGTGTTTTGTATATGGTGAAGGGGGAGAGTAAGCGGCATTCCTTTAAATACACTGCTGCTGCTGCTGCTGCTGCTTAAGTGTTCAGTCTATCCTATGGCCTAAACACTACTCTAAGCCTCATCAGAAGCCATAATCAACTAATCAATGTAAACAGACACTGCTTTAGCTATTAGATACTTTAACATGACAAACTACTATAATTCACTTGCTCCACCTAACATTCATACAATTTAACACATGACATGAAAATTATCTTGGATGGTGCCTCAACCAGATATTTCTATGAAAACTGCCAGTCTGGCTCTAAGTAGACTGAGGATAGGCAAGAGTAAGTGGCTTGGCATGTGCTAAAAAGTATATCAAAGATAATCTTCAGCTATGCTACATACAGTAATTAAGCCTTACCTTAAAAATTGTAGAACCAAAAATGTTAATATCAAGTGATGAGTCGAGTTTCAGCCCTGACTTTGGTAATCTAGCTTTATGACGTCCATCATCTCTCACACAGCTAGATCACCAAAGACGAGGCAGAAACGGTTTCTTTCATTTACACTATAGCAGCAACAGTACATTTTCCATGGATTAAAGGTTTTTCATTATCCTAATAAAATTAACAGCCACCCACCCACCCACCTCCAGTTATTTTTTTTTTTTTTTTTTGCATGCCTACATTCAACATATAATTACATGCCTATCTGCCTGGCTAGCTGTTCTGGAAGATGGGAGGAAGAAGTGGCTAGGCTAAACTTACAGTAGAATACGTGCCACGACTTTAACCACATACAAATCTACATGCACAAACGTCAAATATTTTATTGTAATTGATGCGCATTTCAAGATAAATCATGAAACATCCGAGGATAAAACAGGAAGCATCAGCAAGTTTAACACCAAGTGTCCACAAGCGCCAGACGCAGCCTTTCAGTGCACCTCCACCCAGTGAAATAAATATTAGCTTTTTTGTTTTCCTACATTTTACAAGCAAATTAAAACTTATCAAAAACTATTTTTTGAACCATTTATGCATAGGTCTACAAATGGCCATTTGTTTGACCATTTCTCCATAGCCAATGTCCAGGATTAATGAATTTTTCCATTATATATATTCAGAACAATCTTTTTAACAATTTGGTAAACTGGTTTCTTCGTGTATTCCTGAACACGTAAGTTACGGGTTACCTGTGCTGCTTACGGGCCAATTAGCAACAAAGTTTCTCACAATCATTTCAAGTTCAGTTATTTTTTAATTATAGCTATAAATTTGGTGTTAATGCTCACAAATAAACTGTCTAGAGAATGGATGCAAAATCAAGTGCTTATAATTTATGCTGCTATCCACACATTCCCAAATGTAAATACAGGGGGCTTGGCAGCTCCCGCTTAACACTTTCGCGTTCCACAGACTGACTATCTCGTCACTCATTTTTCTACTGAATGTGTTCCAACGACGCAATACTGAGTCGCTCATTAAAATATTTTTAAAAATTTAAATTTTATCAGATCAATCTGGTAGTGGTTTTAAAATAAGCGCCTTTAGATTGCACACAATTTGATACCAAAATCAAAGATATAACATGAAACTTGATGTCCAAACACTTGAAATATTATAAATAGGCCTATGGTCCGAATATTAAAATATTTGTTAAAATTCTATTTATTGTCCTATTATCTTGGGACTAGTTTTAAAATGCGTGCCTTTTTATTGCAAACAATTTGATACCAAAATGAAAGATGTAACACAAATATTTATGTCAGAACACTGGAAAGATATAAATAAATTTGTGATGATGAGCGTCCAGAATTAAAATATTTGTTAAAAATTCAGTTATTGCTCTATTATTCTGGGACTAGTTTTACAATACTCGCCTTTTTATTGCGAACAATTTGATACCAAAACGAGCGACGTAGCACGAAATTTGATGTTATCAAATTGAACGAGTTGAACATAAGGTTGCAATGTACAAAATGGTGCTCGTTCACGGGTAACTTTAGGCTTTTCTGCGGGGAGGCACTCCAGCCTTTTGTACATTTTATTCATACACATCTGTAGGGAATTTAATTGCGAACACAATGATACCAAAACGAGCGACGTAGCACGAGAATTAAGGTAAAAAAATGGAACGAGAATGCACATGTTACTGATTTTGTGCGTTTTTGCCGAATTTACGCTTTGCTGTTGGGAGTCACGCTAGGCTTTTGGACATTATATTTATACACACCTGTAGAGAATTTAATTGCGAACACAATGATACCAAAACGAGCAACGTAGCACGAGAATTAAGGTGAGAAAGCTGGAATGAGTATACACATTTGGGTGTCACCGCGCGCTTACCCGCACGGAGGGGCCACTATCCCCCTGTCAACCACGAGTTTCCACGGAGCGCGAAAGTGTTAACAATTCATAAAAATGTTTACAATTATATCATTTATGTTATTTGTTTGATTGTAACTATAAATTTGGTGTCAATGTTCACATATGAATATGCTAGAGAACAGACATGAAGTGTGTATTATGCTTAACAGCAATGGATATAAGAATGTTTTGATTAGCAATCGGATGATGCATTTTAGCATCAGAATGAGTGTTAATATTTGAACTGCAAATACAAATTGGTCATACCTATTAACAGTATTAAAGATAGGTGATCAACCAATGCTTTCTCTAGACATTGCAAATTTGGGAAACTATACAAGTTAAAATTAGTTAAAAGCCCAAAGCATGTTTTTGTGGAATACATAAAGACTTCCATAAAGCTACATCAACATGATGCTCCCGTCTGTGATCACATTGTCAAGCACTGTGCTGTAGTGCTATAGTCTATACTAAAGTACAGTACAAGGTGTTGCATATTAAACAACCATTTTAGAACTAAGAGAACACAACACTAAACAAATTTGTTCAAAGGTTTTAAACTCACCACCAGCAAGCAGAGCCACAAGAACAACTCCACATGACCAGATGTCCGCAGGTTCGGCACTGTATGGGCGCAGTAGCACCTCGGGGGCCATGTATGGTTTGGTGCCACATTGTCTATCCAAGTCTCTTTCCTAAAAAATAAATACCAACATTCAACAATGCAATATAAACGTTCCCACTTAAAATTCATGTACAAAATTCTATCCTAATAAAGTATAACCAAATCCTGATTTAACAATAGAAAACTAGTTTGGAATGTAGTGTTGCCAGAGTGGTACACCTCAAGACAAGAAGAGTAAGAAGGACATGGTACTGCTAGTGCTGCAACATGCAGTAAATATACAGTAATATGTTCATGCTACTACAATGGCACTGTCCATGACCGTAATGGTAGTGGGGCGGTATTTAAATCTTCCTGGCTGAATACTTTGTTGCATCTGGCCATGTAGATGGAGGCGACTTCCAAGATTTCCCAGTTCATTTTCTGTTGACCTATAGGGCTAAGTATTTCCCAATATATATCCGGTTTGCAAACCCAGCTTCTACCTGCTTCCTCCTTATTTCAATTGATTTAAGGGGCGTCATTTCTGGAAAATTAAAAGTTGTTCAATGTCAACCAATATTTTTTGACTAGTTGTATATGAAAAGGGCTGCAATTGTTCCAAGTTTCAGTACTGCAGCCTAAATAGTAAGGAATATTTGCAATTTTATCATTTTTTTTTCCAGCAAATTTTACACATTTTCAAGTGTATATTTACAACCACGCCTTTCAGATATAATCATTCTATGACACTTTTCTGACACATTAGCATATAATAAAAGATCTGTAGAAGGGGATTTGCCATAACGTGTTTAGTTTTCCTAATACAAATCGTTAAAGTTCCCCAAAAATTTTGCAAATATATCATGTTTATTGCTATTTATAAAATCAATAAATGAACTTAGAAAAAAATGCCGACTTCAGATTTTAGAGACAAACTTTACATGTAAGGTGAAAGTTTCATGTAAATTGAATAAAAAATAAGATATTTGAACATTTATGTTACTTGAAAATAAATAAGTAAAAAATAAAGTCCAAGGTGCTGCCAACTGTGACTTGACGTTGACAACCAATTTCATCCAAAATTGGCACCCTTACAGATAGGCTTACGTGCAGTCAGCTGTACAAGTTTCATGCATATCGCCCAATAAACAAGAGAAAATTTAAAAAAAAAAAAAAAAAAAAAAAAAATAGATTTTTTTTAATAAAACTAATTATAATTTTTTTAATACATGCTATTGTGATAGCCGAGTCATAGACATGATTTCAGTTGACACTTGTTTGAAACCATTTTTGACCATTTTGGAAATTTTTTGACAATTCAATATTTTTTTCTCCCTTCCTATTTATGCTACAATGCTGAGACTTGGACCAGATGAAACCCTTTTCATATACAACTTGTCAAAAAAGTTTAATTGAAATCGAACGAGTTTCCATTTATTGCATATTTCGGGCAAATTTGGGAATGACGCACTCTTAAAAAAAGCTATTCTTGCACACCTAGTCCACTCACCTCAGTTTCTTGCATATAATTATTATAACTCCTGTTCCTTCTATACTAAACAGTGCTAAAATCCACAATCCCCCCCCCCTTCTCTTGACAAATCAAAAACAATCGAGTCAAAACATCAAATAATCCACAAATCTACATAGACAAATAGGCATTCAGTAGATGCTGCTAACGACATTTAAAAAAATCTATCAACTCGCCTTTCCTTGATGTCTGAACAAGGTTGCCATACCAAAGTCCGTAATTTTCAGACGATCACTTTCATCCAGCAACAAGTTTTCGGGCTTTATATCCCGGTGTGCAACACCTCTGCTGTGCAAGTATTCCTGTAAAGATATTTTGCCATGTAATAATTAACATAGGATTCAGGAAAAAGATATTAAAAATAAAATCAATTATACCTAATAGTTAACTACAGACTTTTGGCCAAAACATTTAACTAGTCTCATTACTATGAAAGACAAAACAGTACAGCGCTGACCTGCTGTAGATCAGACATGTCAAACATGCGGCCCACACAGAATACTATCATTTGGTCATTTAATGGCCAAAATTGCACTTATTATAATTTAAACTATCACCTTTTAATAGATTTCAAGAGCACAAAAACACAAATGCAGATGTGAGGCAAGAGGGTTAAGATTTATAAAAAAAAAAAAAAAAAAAAAAAAAAAAAAGTAAAGCCTCTGGACAAAACTAAAAATTATTAAAGTCAAAAATAAATGTTAATTTTGAATCGCAATTTTTGCACAATGTATTTGTTGCTGTTGCATAGACATCCATGTTGCAGTTTACAAAAAAAAAATTGTTTTCGTTTTGTTACACTACTTCATTACTTTGCATTCATGAATGTGGTTAGCCATTAAACTATCTGTATGCACATTGTATGTTTCTGAGTAATATAAATAGTCTGCAATAATTTTTATTAAACGACTTTTTAGTTATCGTGTGTGGCCCTCATGACAATACACAACCCAATACAGCCCTCAGGGGACCCTCAGTTTGACATGCCAGCTCTAGACAAGCTAAAAGTAACTGTAGATTAAGGCTTTGCTATCAAGTTGATCTCTATCAACTTTATGGATTTTGATCTAAATAAATTGTACTCAATCTGGTACTTTTTCTATTTACTGCACCATGTTTTTAACCATACTAGACCTGTGCCAATAATCCTGTTATACACGTGACAATTTCATCATGTATCCCCCACCGGCATCGGGCTGTGGGGAGAAACTTAATGCACTCGTGCTTATTCCATCTATCCAATGCCACTTCTTCCCAAACCCAAAACCTTGGCATAAGGAATTCTATCAAAGGGGAAGGAAGGGGGCCTATCGCCCATTAACACATCGCCATACATGTTGGTTTAAAGTGTGCTACAAACGACCATACCTGGCGACAGTGTGTGTGGTTGAGGAGCCTTGGTACACCTGGTGCATGACTTCTCTACATGCATCCTGGTAATACCAAAGATCCCAACACACACTTATTCCACTCTCCATCTCACTGCACAGAAATCTACAAGTGTATACAACTCAAGTGTCCACTCAAGACCTTCAAATGGCTTCAATATAGTGGCATGAAACACATGTTAACATACAAAATTTGTATTTTTAAAATCAACTAATGTTTGAAAAAGCCCCAATCATTATTTGATGATTGAGACTGACCATATAAACAGCTCAGTCCAAATTCATCCTAAGCAGGTCATCTATTTTTACAACAACAATTTGGCTTCACACAAAATGTAGCTTAATCATTTAGCATTTACAAATTTAAATCTTATTTAAGAGTTATCAAAACAATAACTAAAGTGAATCGCATATGATTTGAACTAGGGAGGAGTGGTACCATTATGTACTCACCTATTTGTGTTTGCGAGGGTTGAACTTCGGCTCTTTGGTCCCCTGACCAAATGTCTGGTGACCAGACCAGTATGTTGCCAGACAGCCTCACTCCAACACATCCAAAGTATGTTACATACCATTTGAATCAATTTTTCCCACTGATCAGGAAATGCATTTTAACAATATTAAAAAGAAAATGGTTTTCATTTTTCCCCATGCACCACAAGGTTAAGGAATAACAGGTGGCAGTGAGGGGTTAAGAGCCCCAAAATGAGTTTACTCATGAAAACCTTCGTTTTTTTTCCGATATTTAGACTCAAACTTCAACATGTTTACTTTGTTTAAAAAAAAAGATTTAAATTTTAAAATTAACGTTAACATAAGAGTGAGGTACACATGAGAAGCTGTTGTAAACAGGAAGATTTCATGGACTTAGGTTTTCTATTTGTATAATTTAGACGAATGAATGGCAAATTAGCACATGAATTAATCTTGTTAATTCTTAAAAGGCAAAATTACCACAAGAAGATTTAGCAAGGCATTTAAAATGCTTGAAAGATTAGCAAAGGCAGTATAATGCCGACAAATGTTGGGTTCCAAGTCCCAGTGATGATAATTACCGGGAATGAGTCTACTAGAGCAAGGAAAGCATTTTCCTTAGCAGATCATAACCAAGTAATGCAGCGATATATAACAATTACCCAGCCAAGCCTAACTTCTTATAGCGTTTACCCATCACCGCCCACGGATTCTGGTTGACATTGGCATGTAGTGTAACTACAGACTTGGTTGCAGTGGCCTTTTATGCTTACATCACCTTGAGGTTATCGTGATGATTTCGGGTCTTAGCATACTTGCGGCCTGGTCCTTGACCAGGCCTCCTTTTTGTTACAACCCCCCCCCCCAGGAGGCAGCCAGTAGCAGCTGTCTAACTCCCAGGGACCTATTTACTGTTAGGTAACAAGGACATCAGGGTGAAAAACATTTTGCCCATTTGTCTCCACCTCCACCGGGGATCGAACCCGGAACCTCAGGACTGCGAGTCTGAAGCGCTGTCCACCCCTTATACTGTACACTGCCAGGCGCCCTTATACTGTACACTGCCAGGCGCCCTTATACTGTACACTGCCAGGCGCCCTTATACTGTACACTGCCAGGCGCCCTTATACTGTACACTGCCAGGCGCCCTTATACTGTACACTGCCAGGCACCCTTATACTGTACACTGCCAGGCACCCTTATACTGTACACTGCCAGGCACCCTTATACTGTACACTGCCAGGCACCCTTATACTGTACACTGCCAGGCACCCTTATACTGTACACTGCCAGGCACCCTTATACTGTACACTGCCAGGCACCCTTATACTGTACACTGCCCGGCACCCTTATACTGTACACTGCCCGGCACCCTTATACTGTACACTGCCAGGCACCCTTATACTGTACACTGCCAGGCTCCCTTATACTGTACACTGCCAGGCACCCTTATACTGTACACTGCCAGGCACCCTTATACTGTACACTGCCAGGCACCCTTATACTGTACACTGCCAGGCACCCTTATACTGTAAACTGCCAGGCACCCTTATACTGTACACTGCCCGGCACCCTTATACTGTACACTGCCAGGCACCCTTATACTGTACACTGCCAGGCACCCTTATACTGTACACTGCCAGGCACCCTTATACTGTACACTGCCAGGCACCCTTATACTGTACACTGCCAGGCACCCTTATACTGTACACTGCCAGGCACCCTTATACTGTACACTGCCAGGCACCCTTATACTGTACACTGCCAGGCACCCTTATACTGTATACTGCCAGACACCCTAATACTGTATACTGCCAGGCACCCTTATACTGTATACTGCCAAACACCCTAATACTGTATACTGCCAGGCACCCTAATACTATATACTGCCAGGCGCCCTTGTACTGTATACTGCCAGGCGCTCTCATACTGTAGGTTTTTACAAGCATTTATCATGCTTTTAATAAATGAAAAGGGAGGGAGGGAGAGGGAAGCACTTGCCTTATACGAGTTTGTAGATTGAAATGTAATATCACAAGAGATTTTCCCTTGGATTTAAACAATATAATCTGCATTTATATTGCACTTATCATTGCCACAAGTGAACATCATGTACACAGTGGAAGCAGGAGTGCATTAACATATACCATCTATATTGTAATCAAATATAAATCAGAATATCCAGAATTTAGATCACTCCAACACTAACTTGTAAAGTACTTACCACTCCACTAATAAGTTCCCTGAAGTATTTCTGAGCATGAGGCGGCGGCATGCCAATATCTGGCTCTATTCGGTCAAAGAGTTCTCCTCCAGCTGCATATTCCAGAAACATGTATTGCATAGAGTTCTCACAACGACTTCCTGTAAACAACGAACATTTTGATAGGGTTAACTAAACCTACAAAAGATCATATCAATAATGTAATGCAAGAGTATTACATTTTGCTAGCTTTACCATAAAACTTTACGATGTGAGGATTCTTCAGCATTCGATGTAAACACATCTCCTTTCGTACAGCAATGGCCGCATCTTTGTGCTTAATAAGATCCACCATCTTCATGGCAACTGCCTCGTTCGTGTCTTGGTTGATAAGCAGCTTGACCCTTAGATAAAAAACAAGAACTATGTAGATGCTTCTAGCTCACAGCAGTAACAAGATATCCCAGTCCCCCAATGCCTGCATCTCTACTCGACACCCCCCCCCCCCACCTTGTCCCATCTGAATACACAACACTACTATGGATATATTCCACAAAAGTGATAGCAAATCTAGACAAGCAAAAATATTGTACACAACATGCAAGAGCTGTGCACCTCACCTCTCTCCATTGTACAGGATTTAACAGCTCAGTGAGGCTGGGGGTTAAGGAGAGGAGGGGGGCAAGTAATTAATACTTTATTAATCCATTTGTATTTTCTGGCAAATGTAATTATAGATTTAACTTCCTTGTACAGTAGCAGCAATAGGAACAAAAGCCAAGATGATGCCAATGCATGATTTAAAAACTAATTAGTTCATTTAAAAACCAGGCCCATAATTCAAGAACTAAATTATTTACATTTAGCCATGGTAATCACACAAGTGCTATACCTAAAACTTCCCAATAACACTTCTCAGCAAGATTATTCAAATACTAAACCTTTTTTGGCAAGTACTGTATACTCAAGGTCTCTAAGTTAATGCTAAAGCTTATATAAATAGCTTTGCACACAAAATTTGTTTGAACTTTCTATGCACTTCCAAGCAAGTAGCTGAAGATGGTGGATCAAGCAGAACAAAAAATTGACTACACATACATACAAACTGAAGCACATTATTGATCAATTTTCCCGATAATCTATTTTGAGGGTTTAAATGCACAAAATCTGATTTAATATTGTAAAACCATCCCAAATAATAAGGTAACTGCACAATCACTTTAATTCAAACAATTCTAGTGTGAAAACAACCTTGTTAATGGAAAGCTATTCTATCTATGGTAAGGAGTGGTACACTTCCACTTATTGTTCAAAGATTAATTTCAATCCTAGATTACTGACTATTCTCAAACAATAACAAAATCTCACAAGAACAAATAGCACTAAAATGTGCCCAAAAAATTATTATATACACTACAATAAAATATTAGGATTTCCCCTGAACTAGACAAAGAAATTCTGCCAATTTTGGTCAACATTTCAACAAAATTGGTAAACGTCAATTTTTGGAAATGGTGTCTGCCACTAACACCTCAAATCTACACCAACCGAGTGCATTAAAAAAAATTTATTATTACAGTATTATTAACTATTACTATTCTATTCTGCTATAATGTACCTAACCAAATTTACAGAATTCCTGTTGTAATTCCATAATTAAATATTTTTTAAATACTTTTGTTCTGTGTTGCTGGTAATCAAATTTAAGGCGATTGCACATCAATGAATTTAGAAATATATTCCTCTAAGGAAATATGACCATAAAGTAGACCCAAGCACTAAGACCCAAGCTGAAACTAGACCCAGTTTCACTTTAAACTGACCTGATCAAAAAAATAGACATTAAAATATTTTCCTTCAACATTACTGGTAAGAAAAACTAAAGGTAACTGGATATAATGGAACATGGAATCTTTGTTGGGCATTTTTGCATTTTTTTTAATGTAGATTTTTGGAAAGCATTTTCTATTTTTTCTTATGGTAATTATTTTCTGTTGAGCAATAACAGAACAAATAGCACTAAAATGTTCAGTGGCAAGTTCAGACACTAGTCAGTGGCAAGTTCAGACAATAAATCTTTCTTAGAAAAATACTTGCAAACGTTTTTCAAAAATTCTAGTTGGTACAATTAGGGCACAAGAGATTTCCCGTATTCCAATGAAAAAGTTAGCTGGCAATATTTTGGGTTGTAGGGGTGGAGTTGGTTCTACAGCCATGGGTAAAATAATATCCAGTTCTCAAAATTTACTAAATTATATACAATAATTAAATGTTTATGTCCAAAATAATCAAGGTGTGTGTTCATGTTGCATACTATTTCAGTCACATGTAAAGAACAGCATTCATCATCAAAACCATAGCACCTTTACTCCAAAATACAAGAATAGCTAAATAAAGGGTGAATTATAGAAATTAAATTATGAGATGGAGTAAAGACACCAAAACACTACAAATTTCCAAATCTATCTAAATCCCCAGATTGACCTTTCTTGCACATTATATAACACTGATATTCAGCAAATCCATCTGTTACCTACTAAACCTGTGGGGTTTATCAAACTAAGTAGTACTGTACATGAATCCTGAACAAGTATTAAAAGGAAATATACTGCAATTTAAATTACCTTGCATCCCTTTACTATACTGAAACTACAAACCATCTTGCAACAGCACCTCTGATAATGGGCTGTTCCTATCTTCGGTCAAAAGTATTCAAAATAAATAGTATCTTTTTGTATACATACAGTACTAGTACTGTGCTTTCAAGCTCTGCCTTAAAGCATTTCAGTCTAGTATGCATTTGATAAGCATAAACTATCAAACTAAATGATATTTGCTTGCAGAATTTTGTCAAAACCAAAACTTAACCCCCCCCCCCCCCTTTTCCCACATTGATGTAATTTTATTTTTTAATGCATTTTTTTAACGAGAAAAGGAACTGGATTATCTTTGAATATTGACAATTATTGAAGCACTTTACAATAAACTGGTTTTTAACAAGAAACCAAATGACAGGTAGCCATATCTGTTAATGCCAATCTTAGACTGCCACATTCTGATTACCATGTTGGTAAGTAGAATGCATGTTGGAATGTAGAATGCTACATTAGAATGCAAGGCATCTGTAAGCATTAACTTCTTACTAAATAACAAAGTGAGGGAGGGGAACAACATTTACTTTAAACAAGTTTTGTAGGTTGTAGTGTATTATCAAGACATTTTTCCCTTGAATATAAACATTACAATCTGCATTTATATTGCACTTATCATTGCCACAAGTGAACGTAATGTACACAGTGGAAGCAGGAGTGCATAAATATACCATCTCTATTGCAATCATTACCAAATACAACCAAAAAATATACATTCAGTATAGTATGCACTGTTAAATGCAGTTGAACCTCTGTACTGAAAATTAATTGGCTCCAAAAGGTCGTTTGAGTGCTGATCTGTTTTGAGTACCAAATAATTTTCCCCATAAGGAATACAGTAATTTAAATTGGATTAATCCATTCCAAACCACAAAACACATTAATACAAAAAATTAATGTAAATTTACTCTCACTTTACCTGCACTTGGGAAACTTGATGGCTTATGTTGAAAGTGGAGGGGGGGGGGGGAGATGTTTGATAGGGTAATCCAACCATAAAGGTTCAGGTAATTGTGCTTCTATGGTTCTCTCTTCAGTCTTTTCTATTTCCTTAAGACTTGCTAGATGCTTTTCTTACAAGAAACCCGTTTAATTTAGGCAACTTGTCTAATTGGGTAGTACCTAATATCAAACTCGGTAGAAAGAGCAGACATACAAGCACCACCTTCATATACTACGAGTTCGGTTATCACTTTCTACGAGTTAGTGGTTCTAACAAATTTTCTTTTCGATTGGATTCTATCACTAAATTCCTTAGGTGCAATGGTAACTATGCTAAGAATACAAAACAAAATATCCAAGAAAACCTGAGAAAGTTTAGATAAAAGTTTAATAGGGTTGTGCACTGAACAACAGCTACAGTACTGGGAAAAGATTGACCTGACTTATGAGTATGTTTGAATGCTGAGCAAACGGTCAACTACCGAGCCTGAATACAGCATTCAAGTGCCAATTGTTTGAGTTGGAAACCATTTAAGTACAGAGGTTCCTCAGTGCTTGGACTGTCTTGGGTACAGGTACAGTACAGAGAAATTACATTTTAACCCCAAATTAGAACTGTCAAATAAACCAACAATATTTGAAGCATTTGCCAAAAAGATATACTTACTCTCCGAATGCTCCTTCCCCCAGGGTCTGGACCACATTCCACCCTACTACAAATTCGGTAACTGGCCCAGCCATTGTTGTGCTGGTACAGTGTTTCCGCTTCTACACACATAACCTGAAAATAAATGGCAGTTGAGACAGCTAATCAAATCAAACTGTTCAGGAATTGATACCTTCTGACAAGACAATATTCCAAGTTGTGCCTGTATGTATAAATTACATGTACTCAAAAGGGCTTTTTCCCCATTAACACTATTGGGATAGGAATGAAGAATTGATAAAATATACAAAAGGAATAGTTGAGGTGGTACAGTTTGCAGAATTATTTTGTATGCTACTAAAATGCATCACTGGATTAATTATAGTAAAATAGTGAATAGGTAAGGTAATCAGGAGAAAGCACAAAGCCATTATGGCACTTTGAAGAGAAGAAGTTAAACATTTTTGGGTGGGAGGGGAACATTTACTTTAAACAAGTTTTGTAGGTTGTAGTGTATTATCAAGACATTTTTCCCTTGAATATAAACATTACAATCTGCATTTATATTGCACTTATCATTGCCACAAGTGAACATCATGTACACAGTGGAAGCAGGAGTGCATAAATATACCATCTCTATTGCAATCATCACCAAATACAACCAAAAAACATATGTACAGTATAGTATGCACTGTTAAGTGCAGTGATTAACACTATTGGGATAGGAATTAAGATTTAATAAAATATACAAAAAGAATAGTTGAGGTGGTAAAGTTTGCAGAATTATTTTGTATGCTACTAAAATGCATCACTGGATCAGTTATAGTAAAATAGTGAACAGGTAAGGTTTACTATCAAGAGAAAGCACCAAGCTATTATGATTATGGCCCTTTGACGGGTCGAGGTTAAAAATTTGGGATAGTATGGAGTGAAGGAACGGTGCACAACCACTGATTGGTTGGTACAGCAACAGCCTCACTCCTTTCAGGTCAGTATGCAATCCCCAGTCATCCAAACAGTTGGGTACCATTCCTTCCCTGTCCTATTCCAAGTCCTTAACCTCGCGTTTCTTACAAGTACTATATAGCAGCAATGGCCTAGTACTTTCTCCTGATTACCTATTAATTACCAATTACCTTGCCTATTCACCACTTTAATATAATCAATCCAATGACGCGCTTAGTGGTTGCCTTGCGATGATACCTGCTTGATATCGGGGCTCAACGTTCTCGCGGCCCAGTCTTCGACCAGGTCGCCTCCTTGCTAGACTGTTGGCATACAAAACTGTTGTTGGCAACAGCCTGGCATACAAAATTTTGCTAATTTGCAGCCTCAACTATTCAGTTTGTATCTTTTGTACAACTCTTCCATCACTGTATGGTATAACTTACAATGGCTATTGCTAGTATAAAGCAAGCACTCAAGGTGCACAGCCACAGGCACTCCAATGCCATTTTGTTCCTTACTATTTCTAGGGATTTTTTGTAATACATTAAATTTTGGTTACTATAATATCACTGAAAGAGGTGCACAAGGAATATCTATTCAGAAAGCTCAATTCATTACAATAATTGTAACGTCTCATGTCTAGTAATGGCCCTTATTAAACCCCTAGGTTTGTCACACGACTTAACGATAAAAATGGTCTGAAAAGGTGGCCTAAAAATAGTTGGGCACTTTGGTTTTTGCCAGACTTAGTTTTATCGTTCTTGAGTTTACTTGCCCAAGAATAAATGATGAAGTATAGCAATATATCTAATCGAATTATACTCTTAAGGGGGGTCAGCCTTTCCTGGTTCAATATGTATTTAGCAGCTGTTGGCAGACATCCTTTTCTCACTGTTGCACGACTTCACCTTGGATTAGTAAAAAATCTTTCACCTACATCAGAAAACCTCCATATACAGTAATATGTAGCAAGATACTAGAAAGAAAGAAAGTAAGGGACTCCCCCCCCCCCACAAGATGGGATAGTTACAGGAGGCCTGAGGAAGCAAAAGAGTTCCATTATGTGCGAGTTTTAAATTTTATGATAGGCCTAAAACCAACTCTGGTTGCTATGTACAGCCAAGGGGGTTTAGGAATGTACAGCACTGCTTAGTGCCCTCATCTTGCATATTTGATAAATCTTTAGTCAAGTGTTCCAGTGTCATGAGTTGCTAGTGGTACACTTTAAACCCTCATGCTGCACAAAAATGTCATATGAAGTCTGACAGAGATCAGTTTTTAAAATTTGCCAAAATGTTTGCAAATGTGTGTACAATCTACTAGGCAAATGCTCCCACTTTGTCTAAATGATACCAACTTGAAAAACAGGAATAAAAAATTATAAAATTGAATATTAAAACCATGTTATGAAGCTTCAAAGATATAAAATACTATCACCAATTGTTCATTTATTGTTATGTTATCAGAATAACATATGATCTTTACTTTCATATATTCAGAATATAGGTCTTCAGTATTTACTGTAAAAAAAAAGTCAATGCGGCATTTGAATTACGGGTATGCGCAAATTTAGACAAACGTACAACTCCAAACGTTTAGGGGTTTATGAAAAATCAATTCTATAGGGATTGTAGAACAGACAGCTGTGCACACTATATTTAAAAATGGTGAGAATTGGTCAGAAACTAGATTTTTGGATACTGAAGTTGAAATTTTAATTACAGATATAATTGAAGTTAAAGTTATTGACAATAAATAATCCAGTTCTAATTCATGAAATTACTTTTATATTTTAAGAAACATTGTTTGGCATTCGTACTCGAATATGTGAAAGTTGTTAGGGACTTCACATATTTGGGATTGGTATGCACTCTCCAAGATGTGAGGGTTACAACAAAATCAGATAATAAACAAGAAAAAACTAAAAACTTACCAAAATAAAGCATAACATACTACTTATTGCTGTGTTATGTATTACTCAGCAATGCTATGAATGCATTTATTTATAGTGCTACCCGGAGGACTAAATTTCACACCGAGTATTTTGCTGTACTGTATTTTATTATCTATATATATAAAAATGTAAATGTTCGTTTGTTCAAAATTGCTAATCTCCAAAAGTTCTTCACCGATTGCTTTGAAATTTTGATAACATTCCATTCGCATACGAGCATGTTTTTATATACCTACTATATAAACGTCATATGACAGGTAAAAACTTTTTTTTTTAAAACGGCGCCATCTGTTGGACGTAAGAGCACACACGCTCATCTCCGAAAATTCTTCACCAAATGCTTTGAAATTCTGACAACGTTCCATTCGAATATGTGCATGTTTTTATATAACTACTATATAGATGCCACATCTGACGGGTAAAAAACTTTTTTAAATGGCACCATCAGCGTCAGGACGTAAAAGCAACACACATACTAAATATGTTAAGTTCAATATTTCCGATTGCATTGATAAATTGAATTTTCATAGATTGATTTATTTTGATTTAATTATTGAGACATTTTGTTGGAATTGAGCTGCGTTGTTTACCATACCATTCATTTTGTGAGTATAGTTTATTTTATATTTTTTCATTTTCATTTCGTTTTTCCAACTGTTCTTATTTGTCAGCAATGGGAACATCAAATAATTTGATGTTCCCATTTTTCTGATGGGAACATCAGATCACTTGGGAACACATTGGATGAGGGAGTTAGGAAGACTAGGGGACGGGAGAGAGGGGAAGACAAAGGGACAGGGAAGATGAGAGGGCGGGTGTGGGGGAATGGTGGGATGAACAAGGGGACAGGGGAGTGGGGGATGGTGGGGAGGACGAAGAGACAGTACAGGGGAATGGTGGGAAGGACGACGAGATGGGGGAATGGGAACGTGCGGCCGGCTACAGCTAGTATATCAAAAATATACTGTATTACCCAATGCCAATATTTTTGCATGTCCATTTTTAGGAGAAACTGTCAACCTATTTTAATTGTTTTGCTGTATATTTTTTCTCTTGATTTTGTCGAGGCTTCTACATCTGAGAATGCATATCCTTCTCTCAGGATGTGAAGTTGAAACAAAATTGGTCAGCATACGAGTCAGTCACAAGTGGCAGAGCTTGCGACTTTCTCAGTATTTTACGAGTTATTTGAATTTAAACTTTTCTCTTAAGTCTCTTCAGGTTGTTTTGCTGAATGGGGACCAGATGAGGGTCTTATCACTTCTATGTGGGCAGTAAAGTTACCAAAATATATGTTTATTATCCCTATCTTTTGTTTGGGGGGAGGGGGGTATTTTTTCCTTTACTTCAACACACATTGACCAACTTTCACATACAGTATTCGAGTACAATTGCCAAGCAATGTTTATTAAAACTTACACAAGATGTGTCATCAATTTGAACTACAGTACTATATTGTTGAGAACTTCATTTTCTGTATGAACAGGATTTTCAACTGAAGTTCAAAAATTCCGTTTCTAACCGATTCTCATCATTTTTACATAAGTGCAAAGTTCTTAGTTCTAAGGTTTCCTCCACATAGATTATTCATAAGCCCATAACTTATGGAGTTATAAATTTTTGCATCTAAATTTGCACATATTTGGAGGGCCACATTGACTTTTACAGTAAACGATACAAGCAATATTTTACCTCTAGGGAAATAAACATTTTATGCCATTCTGAAGCCATAATGAATAAAAGAAAATTTGGCGACGTTAACATTCTGAAAAAATATTGATATTTTGAATTAGTAAAGTGTTAAAAAATTTCCCTGTTCATGTTATGATAATGATCCATTAGGAAAAGTTTGAGCACTTGCCATGTAATTATGCAAAACAATGACAGTTTAATTGTCTCCTAACCCCTTAATTGCTTACCATGTAATGATTAAAATACTGTATAGTGGTGGCCTGCACTCATCAAATAAGTGCTGTATGGTCTTTCTAGCCCCCCCCCCCTCCCATTTGAATATTTCTGACCAACTTCTTCATACAACATTGCAGCTATGGAGTGGGTTGAAAGGTACTTCTACGAGTTGTGCTAGGAGCAGTTTTACTTGCAATGTAAGTACATATTACATTGTAGGCATATAAACACTACTTTCAGTTTTGGTAAGTTATGTATACAAAAGTTATTCAAAACAAAAAACCATACAGGTAAACTAATATGGGAAAGCACAAACAAAAATCATACTACAGTACTTGAACACAAATCTATATCTTACATAAGTTGGCAAACTGTGTACTGTATCTCTTATTGACAACTAATGGTTTGCAACCAGAAGACTTGGGATATTTGAGACTGTATTTTCTTATTTTCCATGCAAATGTATTCTTTTAAGAAAGTTTGCTTAATTTTTTTTTTTTACTACTACACAGAACAAGCGAGTTTTAATGATAGCCACTATGGGTTAAATCAAGCATACTCTGAAAATTCGGGCCAAACCGTGTGTGCTTTGAAATACCAGTTACAAGGATCTTTTACTGCAGTTGAAAGTTATATTGGATGCACCAGATTCATAAACTGGTACTAGTTAATAAATAACTGCTCAAAATTACAGTAATTTATGCAGAATGACCATGAGCATGATGTTCCTGCAAGGCCACCACATTATTACATTATACTGAAGCAATCCAGTGGGCAAAGATCTGCCTTTTTTTTCAACCAAACTATAACTGGACAGGAGAGAAGTTTAAGAGCACTAATAATCAGGCTGAAGAACTGTAGTTACAAAGTTAAACAATTTATAATAATAATTCATGGTGTCGGGGGACAGGCAGCCAATATTTACACAGTACTGTACATGTTTATACTGAGGTGTTCCCCCTGGATCGAATAACTGACCCTCCACAGGGTGCAACCCCACAATAAGCCGACTAACTCCTGGGCACCTATTTATTGCTAGGTGGGCACGGGTATTAGGCGATAAACGTGCCCAACCATTTTTGTGCCGCCTGGGACTCGAACCCAGAGTTCTCAATTGAGTAGAGAATCAACCCAACTGTACTACTGGGACCCTCCAGCTTATAAATGAAAACTGGTCTTAAAATCTTTGTGCAGCATTGGTACTAGTACTAACCAAAACATTTCAGTACACTACACATAGATTACACACAGGTATGAGAATTCCTTTAGGAGAGGCATCTTGCTGGCCTTGACCCAACAAAATCAGTATTGTACAGAATTATATATCAGTTTAAACACCTGCTGTACGTTACATTTGTAGTGTTGAAATAACACACATTTCTAGTTAAAATAAATTAAAATATAAGTATGTTCCTACACTGGAAAAACTGGGATTGAACATATGGGGGTTAATTTTATATTGTATTTAGTCTTAAAGCAAGTACACAGCCATTGTATTGTATGTACTAGCTCTATCTATAAATCCAACATTGTAACTCTTCATCAAAGTACAGTAGCACCTCAACTTACGATTGCCCCGACTTCCGATAATTTCGAGTTACGACAAATTTCATAAAGTGCGACTCGACATACGATGGTGTCGTCGACTAACGATATTTGTTGGTACACGTTCGGGTCGACCGAGCGCGTGGTTCCCAGTCACGTGGTCCAACCTGCCTCAGTTTACTACAGCTGCCCGCTTAGTGACAATCGCGTCTATAAGAAATTCCGCGTTTGTGGTGACTTTTTGCATTTTGAACATTAAGGTAATTATTGTATATCATGCCATGAGTCCCAGGAAAGTCAGTGGTAAGGCTCAACATATGAGATCCCATGTAAGGATGACCATAAAGCAGAAACAAGAGATCATTCGTAAATATGAAGACGGTGTGCGGGTTGTTCAACTTGCTAGGCAGTACAACAAATCTCAGTCAACGATATCCACCATACTGGCTAAGAAAAAGGACTTTATGGGTGCTAATGTGATGCATCATTACAGACAAATGTTAAAACGAAAGGAAAAACAAATGTCTCTTGACAAATTTGTAGTGAAACAAGCACTGAACCACAACCAGGTCCTAGTGGTATTCAGGCAAAACATAAGAGTACCCCAGAGAAAACATCACTGCCTGATGTGATAATGGAAGGGGACTCCCCTTCCAAACAGTAACAACTCTCCTCCTCCCCCCTCATCTTCCATATGCCATCAAGAGCCCTCCATAAAGGTAAGATAAACTTAGGTAATGTACTGTAGTTAGAAAAAACATTGTATTCAGTATAAAATGTATTTTATACTGAATGTTAATATGTTAACATTTTGGAGGGTGGGGAACGGATTAATTCAAATCCCTTTATTTCTTATGGGAAAAATCGCTTCGGCTTATGATATTTCGACTTACAATTCGTCTCTGGGAACGGATTAGCATCGTAAGTCGAGGCCCCATTGTATGTACTTTCACCTGAATAAAAATTTGAATTGAATTTAATTTGAACTGAATGGTGTGCACACATCAAATATTTACCTACATCAGTGCATGAAGGTTGTATGTAAAACTTGCACTGGCTTCAGTAGAAGCCTCCAGACTTCCTGTGGACTCTGTGGCATCCCAGACCTTATAACTTGTACCCTGTCATTGTACAGGGGTAAGATGCGTGGCTGGGAAAACCCCAATCACTATTGTCAGTTACTCATTGATCAAATTAATATTAATAATAATTCCTTGTGTCAGGGGACAGGCAGTCAGGTAATACATGCAGTACATGTTGGGCTTTGACCAGACCACACACTAGAAGGTGAAGGAACGACGATGTTTCGGTCCATCCTGGACCATTCTCAAGTCGATTGTGGACCATTCACAATCGACTTGAGAATGGTCCAGCACAGACCGAAATATTGTCGTCCCTTCGTCTTCTAGTGTGTGGTCTGGTCAAATTACTTTAGCTACGTTATTGTGACTCATCGTCTGCACATGTTAGGCTTATATTGAGATTCCCCCCCCCAGGTCAAATTACTAACCCTCCCCAGGCTGCAACTCCACAAGCTGACCAACTCCTTGGTACCTATTTACTGCTAGGTGGACAGGGGCATTAGGTGATAGGAAATGCATCCAAACATTTCTGTGTTGCCTGGGATTCAAACCCAGAATTCTCGATTACGCATCGCGAACTCAACTTAATATAAAAACCGGGTACCTTCTAAATTGATTTTCTAGCGAGCTAGCAATGTATTGAATATAGTTTCCACAATATACATTTGCCTAATTTTTCAGTTTTTTTTTTTTTTTTTTTTTTTAGTGGTGGGCACTTTTTAGACAAATTACAGAGTCAACATTACACAAGCACATCTTGCCCACTGAGAAGTTACTGTACTAAAGACGGTTCAACTAATTTTAAAACACCTACTTAACCTTACTAACCAAATCTAACAGTTTTATCAATAAGAAAATGGACGTTGTTGGAAAATCTTCGTACGATTTAACCGTTCAGTTCCAGAGCCCATTGTGTGCCTCTGACCTCAGTTACCCAAAAGATGGGTTATGGGGGGCCCATAAAATAGTAAAATGAACCCTAATATAAAATTATCATTATGGCCAGTAAATATGTCCAGCTAAAATCTCCCCCACATACTTGGGGGTCCTAAACAAACAAAAGTATCAATAGCATTACGAGTACGAACTTTAGGGTTAGAAGAACTGGCCAATTAAAATTTGTAACCTTACCCATGCAAAGGCTTGTTAGTATCACATTAGTGAACACTACCTTAACAATACAAGCCACGCTGTATGCCACTTCACACATTTTCACACTTAAACATTAAAATATTTCTCAAGTGCACCTTTATGTCTATTAAACAACACGTATTGTATCGAACACTAATTTGTGCACCACACCAGTTTACACAATTACCATATGGTGCCGCAGCTGGTCGTTAACGAGGCAACGTAATGACTTTTACAACCAACTTAATTTGTTACCTAAATAAAAAAATCCACGTGACATGGCCACTAACCCTTAGTACAAACTATATTTAATTTTGGGTAATTTAAGTAACAACGTTAATCTGTCAAGGAAGAAGATTCAAAAAACAAACTTGAAGCATCTTGTGATGACCATGCCCACCACACTCAATATTTCCAAAATTATTAGGTATTTTAAAAATCTAATTAAATTAACACTTGGGCTTTAGAAGAATTAATTGTGGTGTACTAGTGAAGACTTCAGCACATTACCTTAAGAACCAGGGGCCTGGCCCAGCCGTCTTAAGACAACCAATAATTTAACGTCGAGTTGTTGAGGGCCGTGAAGGGCGGGTGGCGAGGGCACGGGGCACGGGGGTACCCACGCCCTCACCACCACCCACCTCCAGGCTAATACCACCCTCACCACCCCACACCATGCAGGAAGGAGGTGTGTGGAGGTGTGTGGCGGGTGTGGCGGGTGTGGGGCAGGAGGGTGGCGCGGGCAGGCTGGTGGTGGCGGGCCTGGGCATGGCGGGCGCCGGTCTCCACCATCAGCTGTTCCTGGCCACCACCTGCCCGCCCTCTACCACCATTTACCGCCCATCTCCAGGCTCCTGGCCCCGCCCGCGGCCCGCCCCGGCCCCGCACGCTGCCCCGCCGCCCGCTGCCCACCACACCAACACCGGCAAGGTGTGCTACATGTGGGTATGGCCTCCAAGAGCCCGGGTGTAGGGAACACGTGGGGCACTCTAGGCCTAGCCCCGCCACCGCTCCTCTCCCCCGCCCCCAGCCCGCCATCCTCACCTGCTGCTGTCTCTAGCCTCCTCCTCCTGCCCTCGCCATTACATCTTGCCGCCTCCACACTCGCCAACGATGCCAACGGGGCTTCAACGGAACTAAATTCCAGGGAGTAAATGAAAGCCACGCTGACTGAGCTTTTTCGCGCCGACTTGAGACACCAGCGCCATCTGGGTACCTCCTCTGGTGCCCGCCACAACAATAGTCACGCAACTTGTTCATATCTTTTCCTCTCCTCTCCTTCAATAAATGCAAACTCTACCCAAAACATTTCAAAATTATTAAGCATATGTATATATATCCACACAAGTAACTCTATTATTCACATTAGCGAGAGTAAAAGTAAGAATAAAACGTTGGCAACGGTTATTTGGATGTGGCAAGCTGTGAGGCAAACTTGCTTCTCCATATATTATTTTATTAACAATTATCATTTGAATTGGTTATAAATACATATTATTAATGATATGTTACAGAATATAAACATTTAAATGCTAAACTTTCATTTTTTTTCACAAACGGAATTCAAATATGGCGTTACTATTAGTTGCCCACTGGTCCTCCCCCCAAATGTTTGTTTCAAATAGGAGAGGGACCACTTGGTGTGCTGGGCCACCCTACCTTACTATGGCCCGGGGCCACCCTAACTTATTGTGGCCCGGGGCCACCCTAACTTATTCTGGCCCGGGGCCACCCTAACTTATTGTGGCCCGGGGCCACCCTAACTTATTCTGGCCCGGGGCCACCCTAACTTATTGTGGCCCGGGGCCACCCTAACTTATTCTGGCCCGGGGCCACCCTAACTTATTCTGGCCCGGGGCCACTCTAACCTATTGTGGCCCGGGGCCACCCTAACTTATTATGGCCCGGTACACCCTAACATTGATGGGTGTAACCAAGTCTATGTCTTCCCCCCCCCCAACTCTTCCAGACCTCACAGTTGAACAGCTAAAAAAAAACTGTGAGTACTAAGTGCACGCTATAAGAGCTAAGAAACTCTGACGCATAAAAGACTCAAAGCTAAAGATTAGACGGGTGATATATAATAATAATAATAATAATAATAATAATAATAATAATAATTGTTATTTGCAAGAAGGTACAATGGGTTGGCAAGATTACATAAGACTGGTATTTTTACATTCATGCAAAGCCACTAACACACACAGCGTTGTGGGCAGGTCCTCAATCTAACACATCAGGTACGATGAAAAGGTACATTGTAGCAAGGTTTTATATCAACATATAGCTACAATGTAAGTTAACAGAGGTGATTACACCGGTAAAGATATATGTCTTAAGTACTGGTATTGGGGAAGTGGGTATAGTACAAAATTCAAATTCAAAATTCAAATATTTATTCAGGTAAAGTACATACATACAAGGTAAGATACAAAAGTTGATGGATTTATAGATAGAGCTAGTACATACAATGCCTAAAGCCACTATTACGCAAAGCGTTTCGGGCAGGAAAAACACTACTGACTAAAACTTAATACTAATTGACATTAAAGTATAAATTGTGAAAATTTATAAAAATAAATATAAATAAAGAAAATATAAAAATAAAAATGGGGGAACATGGCAGAAAAACAGCAAAAATATATTTGGTCGACAAACAGCATTGATTAAAAAATAGCAGACATGGGTTGACATTATAGGGGTAAGGTAGGTTACAGGGAGTTAATTAGATTGATTGATAAAGATTAAGCCACCCAAAAGGTGGCACGGGCATGAATAGCCCGTAAGTGGTGGCCCTTTTGAGCCATTACCAGTATCAAGAGCTGATACTGGAGGTCTGTGGAGGTGCGACTGCACCCTGCGTGACGGGAGATGTCTCCCGTGTGGAGAAGGGATTGATTGATTGATGAAGATTAAGCCACCCAAAAGGTGGCACGGGCATGAATAGCCCGTAAGTGGTGGCCCTTTTAAGCCATTACCAGTATCAATAGATGATACTAGAGATCTGTGGAGGTGCGACTGCACCCTGCGTGACGGGAGATGTCTCCCGGACCAAATGGTGACCAGCGGAGTTAATTAGGTAGTGCGTAGTTTTTATCTTAAACAGGTTGAGAGAGATACAGTCTTTAACATGATTGGGAAGGTTATTCCACATTCTGGGTCCCTTGATTTGTAGAGCATTTCTAGTTTGATTAAGTCGTACTCTTGGAATATCAAGAAGGTATTTGTTTCTGGTGTGGTGCTCATGGGTTCTGTTACAACCTTCTAGGAAGCTTTTAATGTCAGGATTGACATTAAAGTTCAGCGTTTTATATATATATAATACACATGAGAGGATGTGCAGTGACTAACATATTCAGAGATTTGAGTAAGGGTACCGAGTGATGTCTGGGGCCAGAGTTGGATATTGTCCTAATATGTTCCTATTGTTCCTGCCCGAAACGCTTTGCGTAATAGTGGCTTTAGGCATTGTATGTACTAGCTCTATCTATAAATCCATCAACTTTTGTATCTTACCTTGTATGTATGTACTTTACCTGAATAAATATTTGTATTTGTAATAGCAGCTTTGTGTTGAGTAATTAGAGGACGTAAATGATTTTGGGTAGTAGAACCACAAGCACAAATATCATAGTTGAGATAAGGATAGATGAGAGAGTAATAGAGTGTCACCAGGGCAGGGCGTGGTACATAATATCTGATCTTAGAAAGAATGCCAACAGTTTTTGAAACTTTTTTTTATATATTTTGAATGTGTCCCTGGAAATTCAGCTTAAGGTCAATGAGAACGCCAAGGAATTTGCCATCCACTTTGTTACAAATTTGGGTATTGTTTATCCTGAGATTTATTTGATTTGAGGATTTATTGCCAAACAAAATATAGAAAGTTTTGTCAATGTTGAGGGTAGAGATACCCTCAGGTAGACAAGATACAATGTGAGTTTGAAGTACAAGGTAGGAAACTATGAAGATGAAATTAGGTAGTTTTTGGTTTTACTTTTGAACAGGGGCATGGGTTGGACAATTTTGTAATTCATCAGGGAGTGAGTTTCAAAGACTGGGCCCTTTAATTTGCACGAAGTGTTTGCACAGATTTAGTCTGACTCTGGGGGATATCAAAGATATATTTATTTCTGGTATGGTGCTCGCGGGTTCTATAATAATGATAGTAGATGGAGGAGAGGCACACACAGTCAGGGGCACCGCTCTAGTGCCTGGTAAGTCCGCTACGGGCTCACCATAGCCCGTGCTACTTGCCCCGATCCTGTGCCAGGTAAGTTACGGGCCCACCATAGCCCGTGCTACTTGGAACTTGTTCCGAGTAGCTGAATCTATAACAACAGGAGGAGAAGACGTAGTACTTCACCCAGCCAGGCAAAACACTAACCCTGTATATCCCGGAAGACACAGTCACAAAACCGGAGTGACAGGGAACAGAATAGTAATGTACAGAATCCAGGAGCTATCTCTCAGATGTTACTACTGCTCGGCTTAGACTCGGTTACAAGTATCTCTGGGAATTTTCATTATCGGCCGATGTAGACCTGACCAAATGTAAACTGTGTCAACAAAATTATTCGCACACCCTCCGTCACTATGTGATGGAGTGCGAAAAGATACGTGAATTTAGAAACAATTCTATAACCAATGTTCCAGCGATGTGTAAATATTTCATTCAAAATGATCTGCTACCAGAAATTTTAGCCAAATATCTCCAGTTTGCAAACAGAGGGCATGACCGATCAAATTCAGGTGCGGGAAAAGCTCACTCCATCGTGTGATCACAATACACAAAGATGGAATACAGAAACTCACATAAAGGTCCAGGATGATGACCTTATAGATTACCATCGAGGAAACTAACAGGGATGAGAGAGGAATTGCAATGATAAAAAAGTTTGGATGATAAAAGGGCAGCAAACACTGAATGAACACTTTACATCAGTGTTCACACTAGAAAGATTGGATGATATTCCATCACCCACACAAATGTTTGAAGGAGGTAAATAGAATAAATTAAGGGGAAATAACCATAACATTGACAAACTAAATGACTCAAAAGCCCCTGGTGTGGATGGAATTCAATCCATAGTCGTAAAGGAATTGCAGATGCACTATGCATACCACTGAAACTCCTTTTCAGAAAACCCCTGGACCAAGGGACAGTCCCCCGAAGATTGGAAATATGCAAATGTTACTCCTATTTTCCAAAAAGGCAGAAAGAGCTCGGCAGAAAACTACCGTCCGATCAGCTTGGCATCACACATCTGCAAGCTCATGGAGAGAATCCTAAGGGAGGGAATCATTCAACATCTCACAGAGAACAATCTTGTAAAATCAACGCAACATGTACTTGTTAAACATAGAACCTGCCTTACTAATCTGCTCACATTTCTGGAAGCGGTAACTGGCTATTCAGACAAAGGACTTCCGGTCCTTTGTAGCTTACGTGGACTTTGCTCAAGCTTTTGACAAGGTACCACATGAGAGACTGGCAAGAAAATTACAGGCACATGGAATAAATGAGAGAATACCGGAATGGATAAAACAAAGAAAACAAAGGGTAGTGCTAAATGGGGGGTGACCCAGAGAGTGTCGACAATACCCAGCCCCAACGAATTACAGCATGCAGGCCTCTCACTGGACCTCGACCACTGCTGCCTGCTGCAAACCGCTGCCGTGGAACGCTGCCTGCAACCTCGCCACAGCTGTGACTTTAAACCCGATCATCTCTGCCTGCTCCTCTGCTACATCTTGCTGCACCAAGGTCATCGCTTACACATCCAACAGCCTCGTCATTAACTACATCATGTGGGATCTACAGTCTGTTCTGCTGACCCTCCGTCGCCATCAGGGCACTGCTGGTCCTACAGGGACTCCCACCACAGCTGCTCCTTCATCAG